TATATATATATATATATATGTGTGTGTGTGTGTGTGTGAAGACAGAGAGAACAAGTGGGAGAGAGATAAATAAAAATTTTCTGTGAATAACGCTTACATTAATTCTTGACTACTTACAGTTAGCATCTTGATTTTCAAAGCATTTCTATAGTAAAAATCATTTACTGTGTATTTTGTATAGTCAAACCATTTCCATAATAATGATCATGGCCAATAAATCAATTTGATTATAAATAAATATCATATAGTATCATCCCTCTATAAAAAAAAGCTTCCGTGGATCACCGATAATCCTTTCAAGATTTACAATAATAAAATCATTCTCACTATATCTCTATATTAAATCCGCTTCAAAACACTTTCCTTGGATACTCACACACTTACACCAGCGTCTCTTTCACTTTTCAAAACAATCTTTTGTGATCGACATCAGCTGCCACAATCCCAATTTTAAGTTTTCCATTCTCTGTCTTTCTATACACACAGGTTGAGTAGCGAAAATTACACAAATAAATTTTAAGTAAAAGTTTGCAAAATTTGTTGGTTCAATTAGAAAATTTTACTTTTAAACATCAAAAAACTTGGTTCATTCATAACCTTACGAAAGACAATCACCTTCTTACACCAGCATTCAACAAAAGTGGACTATTACAAATTCTTCTATAAAGTTTGCTAAAAAGCACCATTTAGACCATCACGTCATATTTTCCAAGTTAATAATTTGAAAAGGTTTCTTTCAGCTCTAATTATTAAATAATCAATTGTTGAATTTATATTTACTCTGTTGGACGCTATCTTTGTAATGCTTAACAAGTTGGTAACACAAATCATTTGTAGTGAGTTTTGCTTCATACTTCTAACCCAAAATTCGGTTAAAATCATCAAAATTCATTTTGTTCTTTTTTATTTTTTTTATAATTCTCTTTCAATATGATTTTAATTAAGTGAAGCGCAGTGTGTAATAAAGAGACTAACCAACCCCAGTAGAATGCAATCACTAACAGCAATCACTTTCACTAGTGCACGAATCTTCAACTACTTATCGTTTAAAAGAGTAAATTAGGTACACATACCACACCTAAAATTACTGATGTCTCTCCATAGAACATGTGTGTACGTGTGTATGCATGCGCGTGTATGTGTACGCCAGAATGTCTGTACGTCGACAGTGATTTAAAACTGTCTACGCTACGGTGTAATATGTGTTAAATATTCTTATCAGAAGGAATAATCTTTTGTCAAATTATTTAAGAGAAAAGTGATACTTTCCACTTTTCGTGTGAGGAAGTGCATTTCTATTGAAATGTGAAGTGTGACAAAAAAAAAAAAACAAGTTTGTTTTCGGCAAGTAGCATGCGAGTAGAGATGAAGCTTGTGAAGGCTGTGATATTTGGATGTCTTGACAATCGTCATTTGAAATCCTTGGTTAAAATTTGATCACTGGCATCGAAGAAAAAATGAATTTTCTAACCCACCAAGTAAGCAAATTAGCTTTAAAAAAGGTAATGCAATTTGCATATATCCAAATGACTTCATATTAAGAGTGACACTTCATGACGGAAACAGTAAATCAATGTGCTATCAAAATTTTGTTATTGATTTTGCACCGAAAGTCTCCAAGAAATCAAGTTACAATCGAATCAAAGATGTTTTTGTACATTAATTGGCCATCTTAAAGATGGCCAATTAATATATATGGCCAATTTCTATAAATCTTTGCCAATCACAAACGGCAAATATCGTCGAAAATGTGGCTGTATTTTGAGCAAGTCCAAGATGGCATTTAAAACACCGCTTCACAACGGCAAACAACATATTTTGGCAGGGCTGAGGTCAGGTCAAACTCCAGGCCAAAGTCAGTCATCAAGTTTCACTAAAAAAGAAACAAAGTAAAAATGGACACATCATTCAAATCTGAAATGACCGCGTGTCTACAATTGACAATGCGGCTGGATTTGATAAAGAAGTATGGAGACTTTTCAGAGTGAAATATACGCTTCTCTAAAACTGAGTTCTATTAGGAGACACCATAAATATATGCGTGTGTATTTGCGTGCACGCTCGCGTATGTCTATATGTGTATGTGTCTGTGCGCGTCCGTGTATGTGCGCGCCCGCACGTCTGTGTGTGTGTGTGTGTGTGTGTGTGTGTGTGTGTGTGTACAGTGGAAGAATTCCGTAAAGTATTAGTGCAGTGCATTCGAAAAAGAACCGTAACTCAAATTTCAGTCTAGGAATAATAATCCTACTTAATAAAAAATGGAAATAAAGACGTTGGCAACTAACACATTAATGTCGATCAGCTATTCTCAACTATTTCCAAAAGTACTTACAGACTAACAAATAGGCTAGATTAAAAGCAGACACGCGGACAGTCAGTTCTTAGGAGTGGCTTCTCAGCAACAGACCATCTCTAAACAATAGACCAGCTGATCGAAAAACAAAACAAAACAATAGATTACAACAAACGACGTTGTTTAGCTTTTATTGGCTATAAAAAAGGCATTAGACTTGCTAGAGGGCACGGTAATCTTTTACTTACTACAAGAGCAGGGTATTGATAAAAACCTTGAGAAAATATGCGATGGCATTACTGCGCTAATTTGACTACAGAAAGACAATTAAAATGAAGACTGGAAAAGGAGAGAGGAAAAATTGGTACGATTTCACCTCGACTACAAAAGATGTTGAAAGTATTTTCAGAATAATGAACTGGAAAGTGATGGGAATAAAGAATAAACGTTGAATGACTTCTATGATTTGCAACAATTTGCTGACTATATTTTCTTAATACCAGAATCATCGGATGAATAAAGAGAAAGGCTAAATGACCTAACGTGGGAAAGTCTGAATATAGGTTTTAAAATGAACAGTAATAAAACATAATATTACACAAAAAAGATCATATGAATAGAAGAGGAATACTTGGAGCAGGTAATAACAAAAGAATTAGCACGAAAAATGAAATGAACTGATGTCTTTTGATAGGTTATCTAATAAACAAAGGTATCATGAAAAGCATTGTGTCAATATAGCATAAAACGTAAAGTGTATAATGAATGTATGTAGCTAATCGCTTGAAAACAAACTCAGAAATGCTCGAATGGAAATAGAAATTCTATGGATAACTCGAAGTGATAAAATAACATGAGTCAAGAAACAAAGATAAAACAAGAATGATTAAAATGGCCTAACTTGTGTCTCAGTTTGACCGTAAATGTCACGGTCTGAGGAGATATCTCCCACCCATATCAGTGTTTATCATTTTTGTGTGTGTGTGTGTGTGTGTGTGTGTGTGTGTGTGTGTGTGTGTGTGTGTGTGTGTGAGAGAGAGAGAGAGAGAGCTCTGAAGCTAAAAATGTTTCGGGTAATGAAAGTACTTTTTATCAAATTTGGACGTATAGTAAAAATTGAAAATGACTCTGGTAAGGAAAAACGGCGACAAAATAGGTACACGAAATAAAGGAGTTTATGGCTAGACATTACATAGGGTCACGATCAGAGTCGCCACAAAGTCACTTAAGAAAAGACTTTTTTTCTTCTGCATCCCATTACTACTACTGATATATGGCGTTGTTATGTCACATTTTTAGAAATGTAATCAAAATCAGTTCAAATTCAAATTAATTGTGAAAGACACTAATATAATTATCATTATTAGAAATGACAAATTACATTATGAATCTAACACTTTATTCTTTTTATTCCTTGTTCAAAGCATCTGAGATAATGAACTAATCTCTACTGTTTTTAAAAGTTTTCTGAAAATGTTCTAGTGAATTCTTTAAATGAATATTTAAAGGTATTAAATTTCGTTGGAGTTTCTGAAGTAGATCCTCTCACAAACCTAACATCATGATCTTCTCTTGAATTTAGTTTACTGGATGTAAGGTAGCACATGTCTTTATTGACTAGAACATAATATTTTAATTTCTCTTTTATGCTTAAATTAGGAAAGCTTTCGATAAATATAGATATAGATTTTTAGATCAATATATATATATATATATATATATATTAAGGTAAGAAAAATAGGGAAAGCTTATAAATTTAACATGTTTCGCTTTTATCAGAAAATGAAATATAGAGAGAAAAGAAAATTATGTTATTTTTATTTTTGTGTTGTTTGATTTCATTGGTTAAGCAACCCTCATGTGTATCTGTCCTGTCAAGCAGTGTTTGTCTGTATAAATCATGCGTGTATGTGTATCACATTTCTAGGTGGTTTAGGATTCGGTTAATAATATGTATACGTGTCTGTGCGTATATGCGCTTGAGCGTCTAGTGGGTATTTTCATCTATGTCTGATAGTTGTCTGTATGTTGATTAAGGGTTGTTTTGTGTGAAAGTGAAAGAATTTAAGTTACACCGATTGTGGCTGTAGGGTGATTGTAGGTGTATCTTAAATCCTATCACTTTCATACACACAAAATATCCCGAAATCAAGACACGAACAACTAGCAAACATTTTCCATTCAAATTACAATACATTTTTTTTTGTACAAGACAGCTTTTGAATTGGGCACATACTACTCGTTTTTATGGTTAAATCCTAGTCATTTGCAAAATTACCAAGGCCCCATCGTTCTTCCTTAGTCATGTCTATGTTTGTACTCAGTTGCTGCATTCTGTTACTATTTGATTACCATCCATGTCTTTATCGTCACATAGTCAATATTTTCTGTTATGTTGTGTTCTGTCTATCACGGATTTCAGATAGCTTGTTGCTATTTACTCGTTTAGGCTCAGTAAAACATATCAGTATTTTCATTATTTTATTCCCTATAGACGTACGTACATTAATCCACGGTCGAAATAAAATGATAAAAGAATGAGAAAATTAGTCCGATAATGACTCATCTCAGAACTTAAGACAGTATGTGCAGATATATTTTCTCTGTGCGTTATACGTACGTCTACGCATGCGCATAGGCAGGAAACTCTTTCTTATAAACACATTTAACCACTTAGAGAAGCAAAATTTACGATAAAAAGTTCTTCTCATAACTTTTCAGTTACACAAATAAGACAGAAGATAAAAAGAAGACAAATGGAAAACAAGATTTTTGTTTTTAATTTGGTTATTTTCCGTTTTCTTCTGGCGCGTCCATTGCTGACGTAAGCAACGAAGAGAATGAAGAAAGCAAAGAGAAAGAAAATTGATTGAAAAAGAAGAAGAAGAAGAAGAAGAAGAAGAAGAAGAAGAAGAAGAAGAAGAAGAAGAAGAGGAAGAAGACATTTAAATTGTGTTGGATATTGCAAAATCAGTTCAAGTAGTAGTTGCTTGGCAAGCTGGACCAATGTGTCTCCCAAGGTAAGAAAGCTGTCCTACCTTACAGGAGGCTGTGCGGCGGGGGGGGGGACTAATATTATACTCAAATCTCAGGGAGCTGTCCCCCCAAAAGAGACGGGCCAATTGAATTCAGAAGTTTTTTTTCTTTAGCCCATGTACGCGTGGGTTCCCACTGTAAACTCCATTTTGCAGGAGGTGGGCATACTGCCTTGCTAATATAAGTTTGCAATATTTTAACTGTTATAACTTGAGCCCTAACCAATAGCGTTGGAATCGAAATGGCTATCTATGGTTAAAAGAAAATAAAAAATGAAAATAGAAAGAACAAAACTAATGAAAGTGAAAGTAAGGATAAAGATGAGAAAGGATTAAATGAAGGACGAAAAGAGGGAAACATGAACAAAAGAATGAAGCATTTATGAGAGTCGAAATTATCAGTTGAGAATTGAAATAAAGGAAATAAAAAAAAGAGAAAGAAAAAATAGTAGAAATATATAGAAATGTTACAAAAAATACAGAAAAAAACTCAAGGAAGAATTTTATAAGGAGATAGCAAAAGAAAAAAAATTGAAGCTAAATATTATTATATGCCTTTCCATTCAGACTGATATCCTAATTTTGGTTGTTATACCCACACAACATTTTGACCAACTCCCTTCTCCTCTATTCAGCTGTCTGTTGTATTCGGTATCTGGAAATTTACAACCGAATCCTTTATTCTATTCAATGAGTTGATAGTTCCCATTCTGCTGAGGGGAGATAACTCGTAACAACTGCTGTTCTCTAGTTTTTGTGCCGTTTGTTCGTTTTCTCTCTAAACCAATGCATTTGACTTTTTCGGTGATTGAACTTATGACTGCATGGAAACCAAATATGCTTTAAACAATGTTTCAATTATTTAAACTGATTATGCTCGTCTGAATGAAAAAGCAGATAATAATAATAATAATAATAATAATAATAATAATAATAATAATAATAATTCCTCATGTAAAAAATTCTGACATCATTTATGAAAGAAATAACAAAAGACAGTATAAAGAGATAAAATGTGGAGGAGAACAGAAAAGGAAGGAAGGAAGGAAGGAAGGAAGGAAGGAGAGTATAAAGTGACAACAAGAAAAGTACAGAAGCATAAAAGGAAAGAAGATGTCGAGACATATCAAAAGAATTAGGAAAGAAGGAAGAAGGTAAAGAAAGGACACATGTTAGCATCCGAGAAATGAAAGAATAAATGAAGGAAAAAAATAGCAGGAAGAAGAATAGATAAAGATAAGAAGGAAGAAGGGAAAGAGGGCAGGAAGGGTGGAAGAAGAAAAAAAAAACAATGGTAACTTTGGTAACTGAAATAAGGAAGATAGGTGGAAAAAGAGTGAAAGAGTAAATAAAAGAAGAGAGAAGACGAACGAACAAACGAAGGGAAGAAGGTAGGCAACTATGATTGCATTAAAAATTGTCATAAGTAAAATGGTAGGAAAAAAAAGAGAGAAAAAGGATGGAAGCAAGACTGTAAGAAATAACGAAAGAAAAATATTGAAAGAAAAAAATGATGTTGAAAGGTGAACTAAAGAAGAGAAAGTATGATAAAGGAAGGAAGGGAGGAAGGAAGGAACTGATTAACAGTGCACTGTAAACGCGAGCTCCTTGATTACGATCTGTGTACGCCCGTGTCTCCACCCAGCACCGACTGGTGCAAACTGCATAACAAGATAACAAATAGGGAGGGGCAAAGTGAAAGGGGGGGGGGCGGAGTTGGCAAGGACACATACACAGACGCTCGTCCGCGCGCGCAGTAGGTCTTAAAACGACATCAAAGAAAGTTCCGCGAGACGCATAACGTAAATAGGCAAAAAACAACCGGCAGTACACGAAAGTTCGGATGCATTTCTGCTTCTTATGTACATGTGTATACGTGTGTACGTGTATTTATTTATGCGCTCGTATGAATGTGCATTCGTAGGATATGTATGAATATGGGTGTGCACTTGCTTTGAATGTATGTGTACGCGCGTATTGAACACACGAATGAACATTGGACATTGTGCGTGTGAACTTGCGGATGAATAAGTACATGTAGATGATCGTATGAATGTGAGTGAGATATGTGCGAATCTGAATGAGTGTACGCATATGTACGCATATATGAAAGCGCACTCGCACGGGCGTGTGTGTATATGTGTGTGTTCGCATGTGAAGGTTTATGTGTATAAGGTAACATATGTTTATGTTTATAAGTCTTTTAAAATCGTTTATTACTGATCAGTTAGAGCAGAAGAAAGAAAAAAGAAAAAGTCACTACGGTAGGAATGGTAGATGTGTCACTTCCTCGACAATGAGACGTGCTGCACAAAGTCACAATCGTGATGCAACCTGTGAGAATTAAACTCATGCAGCAGAGTACTTAGACTAGTTTCATAATTACATATTCAAGTCTTCCTCAGACAGCATATTATTATTGTTTACCAAGCATTGCACAAGACCAAGATTGTGTTGATCGAACTTTTTTGAGTCCTAATAATCCTTGGGACGAGTTGACAGCCATTGTTCCGCGGTTAAGCGCCCAAAATATTTCTGAAGTTTAATTCAGTTCACCACAAACCCAAAAGTTTTGAACATCCGGTAAAGATCGAACTCCTGAAGTAATAAGCGAGAATAAATCACTGACTCCATAGTGAGGATTTAACGAACGAATTAGTAATGCTCTACAAGGTTAGCTTGTAAATAGTAAACAAATTGATATATACCGAACTTGGTTTGGTACAAGGCCATAAGTTTGGAGTACCTAGTAAAGACCGGAAACGCAGAGGTTAGTTTGATAATCACTGCTCTCCAGAGAGACATCTTTGTGGTGTGATATATTTTGTAATTGCACAGGGAAATTGCCGAGAGCAGAGATTTGCCGAAGGGAGTCAAATAGAAGAAGATGAAAGATTAATTAATGTACGAAGGTGAGTCAAAGTTAGAAGGTCATTTAATTTTGTATATTTAAATAAATTCAATAATTTAATATTCGTTTTTAAGGAAAGAAAATTGGTTTTAGAAGATAATAAAATAAACATATTACTTTTTCATTTGCTATCAGCAATATATATATATATATATATATATATATATATATATATATATATATATATTGCGACATATCGCAATTTCTGGCCACTTATCTTGAATTTATGAAATCATTTGCTGTTTACAGGCATATACCCCACCATTTACCGAAATATTATTGAAAGACGTTGTAAAGTATTGTTTAAAGTCGAGCAAAATGAAAACCTTACACAAAATTTAATGTCGATGTAGTGTTTATAAAGTCCATCGTAAAATATCGTCACAACATAATGTGTATATATATATATATATATATATATATATATATATATATATATAATACATTCCAAAGAATTAATGAATATATTTTTAATGCGATATATTTTTATAACATTTTTAGTGGATACCCGTACTTGAGTAGACGCTCCATTTTATTTTAAACAGAATTAAATTCATCTATCGGCCTGCACACCCGAGAAAACGTATTAAAGAATATGTGCCCAGCAGTAGGATTCGAACCTGTGCCTCCTTTTTCTGATTCGTCGTCCTTTAATCGCTCGGCTGCGAAGCGTTTTACTATCCAGCAAGACTGATTTATCTGCTCACTTTCGTATTCGAAACGTAAACAGAGCTATTACTAAAGAATTAATGGCTTTTATTTATTAATCCGACATATATATATGTCATTTAACATTTACCACCCTGCACACTAGTCGGATACATTTCATATATATATATATATATATATATATATATATATATATATATATATATATATATATATATATATATCGTCATCATCATCATCATCATCATCACCCCAAATAAGACTCTTATTGATACATTATTCATTACTCATTAGCTATCCTTGGCAGTTGGTAAAGCTGCCTACTAAATGAGGATCGAACTATTTGCAGTGTTTATAGTCTGAAAATTAATTGGAAACCTAGACATAATCGAATTCACTAGACTAGGCAGCGATCTGCGAAATTAATCTCATTTTACGGCAATAGACCACAAAGTTGATTCACAGAAGAACATATGCAATTATTCTTATATTCTGTGCGCATATTCCCGTTTCCCTCACCCCCTACCCCAACAACCTTTTCCCGCGCTTTCATTTGCAATCATGCGTACCTCTTTACACTTACTCGGTGACCCCCATCATACGAAAAAATAAACTAAAGAAAAGAACGTATAACAAATTAAATGATATTAAGTCCAGGTGTTTTGCGCGATAACCGAACAAGCAGTCGACTTGACTTTTGACTGAAATACCTGGACGGGGTAAGAAAAGTGTGAAATTGAATGGAAATTATTCAAGACATAGGAATATCTGATCAGGCATATATAATTCGACAAGAACCCTTGCCTGTCCCACCTACGTGTTCTGAGAGTGTCAAATAAACAACTCTAGCATACTAATCTTGCATGTAGTCAATTGTACACAAGGGATGAATGCGATAGTCGGGCTTGAAAGAAATATATCAATATCCTAAGTACAATTAAAGTTTTACTTCGATATACACGAGTATGTGTATTGGTATTATATACACACACACGCACATTTATATAAAGACTGGATGTTTGTTGCATATATATATATATATATATATATATATGTGTGTGTGTGTGTGTGTGTGTGTGTGTGTGTGTAACAATTCATAATTCGATTAACCTTTATTTTAAAAAAAGATTGTTGGAACCAATATATATATATATATATATATATATATATATATATATATATATATATATATATAAAGAGAGAGCGAAAGAGAATGCGTATATTGGATAATTAGGGAGAAAATAGACATTGTATACATGTTCAACTTAGAAAACCTGAAAAGTTCCTATATTAAATCTGTCCTCTGCCTCAAGGTCAGACTTGATGCAGCGTCGTAAACGACTGCAGGCCCAAATCAAGTGGCTCTCGTGCCTCTCACATCCGAAATTGCAGATTCCAAACTGTCCTTCCGTGGGACTTGTTAGGCAGCTAGAATACTTACAGCCACACTTTCAATCCAGGGTTTGACTACTGTGTCTCGTAATGGAATCTGTACGATAAAATTGATGCTGAAGTGTAACGGGAACAAGTATGATGGGTTGAAATGGATCTTGTTGCTGATGTCCCACAGACCATAAACAATGACATTAATTTGATGTGTACATAGTCACCTGCTGCCCGTACTGTTTACCTGGTCACATTTAAGAAGTCGCGGTGGTTTACGGCTAGCTGCACATGTACAGCGAGCCTTTTTATTTCTTATCTCTGAATGCAAGCCCCATTTTAATGCTCCTAATGAGAGAAATGAGAATGTCAAAGTTAGGCGAATGACGTGTAACATTACGTGAGGTCGTTTTCTGTTTATAACTCGGTAAAGTTTGATCTCAAATAACTGACGCACCGTATATATATATATGTGTGTGTGTGTCTGAGCGCGCGTGTGCATCTGTGTGTGTGTGTGTGTGTGTGTGTGTGTGTGTGTGTGTGTGTGTGTGTGTGTGTGTGTGTGTGTGTGTGTGTGTGTGTGTGTGTGTGTGTGTGTGTGTGTGTGCAAATGCTGAAAAGTCTCAGCCAACCAAGTATGGATTCCTAAAACAATTCATATATTTGATCATTGGGTCAGAATATTGGAAGTACGTCTCTCTGTCTCTCTGTATATCTCGCTCTCTCTTTTATATATATATATATATATATATATATATATATATATATATATATATATATATACTTTATTTTAGGATATTACATCAAAAACATGTAAAAACGCTACACAAATGCAATTATGCTTCGATGTGTATTAACAGATCTTATCAGGCGTCGGAACTGGATTCGATTCGTTCCCATTTTACATGGATAACATATATATATATATATATATATATATATATATATATATATATATATTTTCAACAATTAATCCAAATATTTTTAAAATTTGACAGACAATATTTTAATGACTTTTTCAAGTCGGCGTATGAATTGTCGTCTAGCTGGATTGATTTAAGGAAGAAACTCTCTTTATAATGTATTTATTTAAAGAAACTATTCGATAGAATTCTCATAAGATATGAGCTCCTAACGACTACGATATTATTTGTTTTAGTTTAATAGATTTGATTCAAGCATTATTAGTTGTAATTAAAAAAAATCAACCTGATTCGTAAGGGGGACCAGTAAATATTTACAAGTATATTATTGTTCAGTTAGGGCGATGAAACTACAATTTGTCATTTTACGCAAGAAGGATTGTAAGTGAAAATTAAATGCCACAAAATTGTGAGTGATTATTACCCGATCAGTGATGATTGAAATAAAAAAAAAACAGTTTTGAATCGTTTTTACAGGAAATATTATGCTGCCGCACCTACGTATATGCTAACTTGAAAAATTAAATATAAATTAAATAGACATATCAGCTAAATTCAGTAAAACTTACTTTAATAGACATGCATACATGCAACATTGTTTTGACAAAATCTTTTGTTATGCAATCATTTAAGTATTTTTTCTGCTGCCAACTTTCGTCTAAATTGCGTATTTCTTCCATATAAATATGCCTTTCGTTTTCCTTCAAGCGCCCTCTCTCTCCCTCTCTCTCTCTCTCTCTCTCTCTCTCTCTTTCTCTCACTCTTCTCTCTATATTAATAAACTCAATCGCCATGATGTTTCTTTGGACTTTCTTCCACGTTCATATAAAATCATATACATTCACTAGCAGCATGACCCGGCGTTGCCCATGCTTGATTCAAAAATCGTACGATTCATACAGCAATCGCTATAACTTGACTTAAAATATTTTTGCCCTTCCTTGCCTTTAAAGGAGTGCCCTTGCCGTGCTGATGTTGCTATATGCCTTACTTCTTGCCTCACACTGCGAATTTTTTCTAAGCTCTATACTAAACATTAAATCTGTTACGAAAAAAGAACTAAACAAAATGAACACAAAACGATCAGCTTTAAAAAAGGACTCGTAACTGAAAAAACCGAATGAAAAAAGAATGTTAACAACAAATACTTTTTCACACCCAACCCAGTTCTGCGGAATCAGAATCAACGTTGGTGTAAAGTACCATGCAAATTTAAATTTTTCCCACTTGTGACGAATGCAGCTACCGATAGTCTAATAGGCAAAATGCCCAAATGTGGGTTATGACGCTCCTACGTCTACGAGCGGGTATGCATTCTAGAACGAGCATTGAGAGTTTCTGAACAATTCCGTCTACCCAAATGCAGTCACAAGGCCTGGCTCATCACGTGGTATGGCCTTTAAGCACTTTCCAAAGGTGACACAAACTAGGATCGTCTCCTAAGGTCGATAAGATCAAGAAGTATCTCCCTAACAAATCGACCATGATGAAATTCGATCCCGGCCGCCATGGTCGAAATATAGCTGTTCTAAGCACCCGGCCATACATATACAGAAGTGGAGACATATATATATATATATATATATATACGTACATGCATGCAAACATGCATATATGCAAATACTTGCAAACATATATATATATGCAAACATGATCACAGTTCAATGCTTACTGCAGACTCAGAAAACTAAGTTGTTCTGATCATAATGTGTCAACGGTCTATCAATATGACTCTTCTTGTGAGCTAACGACGACTGCATTGGAGACACATGCTCTACCAAAGTCATCATATGCTAATTGCTGGATTAAGGATTTCCCATTTCCTAGCTGCATGCTTAACATTTGCCGAATTCATTGTATGTTCTTGGAATATCTTTGTACTTTCATGAATTGTACGCCTCCACTTCTGTCTATCACAAGTAGTAGTTTTCCACTCTGGAATTTCAGTATGTAAGTCTGCAAGAGACATTTAGTCAGTCCAAGAACGGGTTTGAAATCCTGTTATTGCACATGCGAGCAACATGACGTATCTAACGTAGTGTTTATTTCAGAATTGTTCTTTCAATGCTGTCACACTGACTTCGCTCAAGCACTTCTACGTCGCTGACATGCAAACCCCAGTTAATTCCAAGTTTTCGACGCAAGTATTGTTGATGAAGACGCTCAAGCTGCGTCAGGTGGTTGCGACAGACAACACACGTTTCATATACATACAGTAACGAGGATAAGACACAAGCAGAGTTCAACTTGATGTTAGTCACTTTCAAAATCCTCCATAGTCGCTGTTTCAACTTAAGAAACGCATTACTGGCCTTTCGAATTCTCCTGGTTATTTCCCTGTTCAGAGGGTAGGATCTCAATATGCTGCTACCAAGTTAAACAAAGTCATCAACCACGCCTATACACTTATTGTATACAAAGATATTTTGTTCGATGTAGGTGTACATACATATATAGAAGCATACATACATACAAGCATACATACATACAAACATACATACATACATATCTTTTACCAACTATTTTGGTCACGTCGCATTTATCAGCTCAGATTCACATCCAAACAGAGTTTTGACGTCCCACCAAAAGAACCAATCGGAGTCAAGAGCGTTAAGAGTCTTAATTTTAAATTCCAATTGTAGCAAATAAATATAAATAAAATTACCAAACTTGACAATATATTCTCATCCCCTGACGCCATGGCAACCTTGCCCGATTTGATATGTCACTCATAAATAATGAAATATATCTAATAACGAAGTTGTACGCTTGACACCGAAGCTAATGGACACAAGATATCCTTTGGTCAGCCAGTGGAAGTACATAGCCACCCACTTTGTTTCTATCCAGGCAACTCAAACCCAAATATCTTTATTTCTTTTTATTAGAACTTGGATTTACGTGTAACGGTTACTTTGGATGGGGAATTGAGCGAGGAAAAAATGAGAGTGAGGATGTGATCGTTGATTTTACAAGATGAATGAGACTCTGGGTAATAGGTATTACTCATTTTTTACAAGGATTGAGTGATGACGATGATGATATTTTTCAGCCGAATAGAAGCGCTCTCCGACGTGGTGTAATGGTTAGTGCAGCTGCTGGTTAACCAGTTGTAGTTAGTTCGATCCCCACTGGGAGGCCCGTGCAACAAATCGATGATAGGGTTGAAATCTCGTAAAACCAATCAACTGAACAGAATGAAACAGAAAAGGTATCTCATAATTAAATCAATGTTTCTATGAACAGTTCTGAATCAATGTAAGAAATTTTTTTAAATGTATATCTTTCTATTCGGACTAGTATCCCCATCTTGATTGTTATACTCACAATGTTTCTGCCATTGTCTCTCCAACTTTGTTTAAATGTACTCTTAGATTCAATAAGTTTCATTGAATTGTAAACCGAATCCTTTATTCAATTGCTGTGGATTTTTCTCCTTCCGCTTTTCTTTCCTTCCTCGTGTCTCTATTTCTGTTATCTACTAACCAATGGATTTGTTTTTATTTTCGCACTCACGAATGCCAGAATATTTATATATGTTTTAACCAACCATTTGATAGGCTAGGTCACGTGTCTGTTGGACAATACAGGTTTTGAAGATTTAAACCTAATGTCTAAAACAGTTGACGGATTTCTTTTATAGCTTTCTCTTTCTTAATTAGAGGCTCCCAAGTTATTCTCATCTCTATGCTAGGCCTACTGAGAAGGTTGTCAAAGCTTATGATTTGGGTTGATTCTTTCAGTCTTCTTGGTCCGCGGATTTTCATAACCAGCTTTTCTCTCTGTACATGTACGATTTCAGCGTCTCCCCCAGGACCAGAGTTTTTAACCTCCAGTCTCGCCCTTGTAGTTTTTGTGAAACTGCATAGAATGGAATATACAGATTTTTTTTTATTATATCCTCTTCCTACATAGATAGATAGATTTGTGTATGTGTGTGTGTGTGTGTGTATGCGTGTGTGTACGCTAAATATATAAAACAATTTTGAAAGCTTCAATTTTTTTAATGACGCCGATTCATTAGTCAAAATTTCAGTATATATATATATATATATATCCTTTTCTCTCACTCTCTCTTTTCTCTCTCTTATATATATATATATATATATATATATATATATAAGAGAGAGAGAAAAAAAAGTGAGAGAAAGCGATTAAAATAGTTATTCGAATTAAGACTGAAACAGGGTTTTGCCGAAACCCTGTCTATGTGCATATAATATTATGGGGTGCTGATTAGTTATCAACCCGACCAAAAATCTTGCTAAAAAGAGAAAAAAAAGCTGATATTTTGATTTGGGACAGCTATTCAACACATTGTGGCATATTTCTGTGGACTACCCATTTTTGTCATATATATCGCCCAACGAAGACGTAAAAGTAAAAGTCATGATTTTGAATGTTGATTTTCAAGGGACAAAACCTTCTGTAACTTGCAAGTATGACTCAACACAGTCTTCTAATTCGATTTTATCTTGCAAGTAAATATCCTTGGAATGATTTTTAAAATCTACGCTGTATCAAAACCTACCTGTCTTCATGTTTAGTTCTTGCACATTTTAGTGGCTTCATACTCTTCCTTTCTTTAAGCTACCTGATGATTACTAAATGTGCACATGAAACTCTGAGTAGAGTTTCCTTCCTTTTATATATATATATATATATATATATATATACTTTATTAAATACTGCAGACAAAAAAGATTTAATTTTTTATTGATTTAAATCTTCCTTGTCCTGCGTATTTAATGAAAGTTGTTTAAAACAAATATTGTTGCCCAAATATACATTAACTCTTTGAGCCCTGACCACCGCTTTACCGGTGGTAGAGAAATATGACGTAATGCCCAGCCGCCGGTTAAACGGTGTCTAAACACTTGTAACTATTTTTATATCTACCGTGAAACATTACATACGAATTATTTGTGAATTTTGACTTAGGAGCTCAGGCAGAAAGGTTAAAATTGTTCAGGAACGCAGGTCTTAAAAGGGTTAATATATTCCGGGTGTAACTGTAAAATTATCCAAATGGTGTTACAGCATAATTTTCCATCCCACAAAATGTTTAATATCTAAAAAATGACTAAACTAATTGTGTTTCTTTTTTTCAGGTTATCAGATAAGACGTTTAGCCATCTTGATACTATTTGTTTCATATTGATACCATTTGTCGTAAGAATCACTGAAAAAAACCCTTTGAGTTATTCAGCTAGAAATAGAACAGGCTAAAATAGTTTTGTGTCAGTCACACTGAGCAATGATGAGAGGAAAAATCTTTCAGACCTTCAGTAATGGTACCAACATTCATATTCTGGCTTCCATCTTCAAAGTCCATTCGACAGCCATCAAGAGAACGGTGAATAAGTTTTAAAAAGAGGGAACAGTAGAGAGGAAAGATAGATCAGGTGGTCACAACAGGAAGAGGGATCATCGTTTCAACTCAAAGCTAAATAGATCCAACTCAATCCATAAGACATTTGACACATGAGAGAGGAGTTTCAGCTATGACAGTCCAAAGTGCAGTGAAAAAAGACTTGAAAATGAAATCGTACGTGAAACGTGTGAGGCAACTTGTTACTCCAGGACAGAAAGTTAGAAGGTTAGAGAGGCAAAGGTCATCTTGAATAAGTTAAAAAATGATATTGGAATAATATATATATATATTTGAACTATGATTAATTAATGATGAACATGTCATTTTCGTTTATATTCGGTTTCATTACGATTCTTCTGTTAAACTTGGAGAGTAATTATACATTCTTATTAATAGAGTCCAACAGCCTTATAAAAACCTCGGATAATTCCAGTAAGATATCTTTAATCAATTCTAAGTTACAACGGTTCAAAGATTAATCTAATAATTGAACAATTTTGCTGTTACACGATTTGGACAATTTTGCTGTTACGCCCAGTACGCGCGCGCGCGCGTGTCTGTGTGTGTGTGAGTGGGTGGAAGGAGCGGTTACACATTATGAACTGTGCAAACGATTTGTGTTCGACCATGTAAACTAATAGTATGATAGCAACTCAAAGACAGTTTGTCATAAAGGAATTATTAAAATACTCTAGAACGATGGGATCCAACGAAACCACTCCACCCAACCACCTGGTTGTAATAAACAGAGAAATTAAATTTTGTCAAATCATTGACGTAGCTCTTCCAGACAAAGATCAAAGAAAGTGAAAAAAAAATGAAAAAATTCAAGTGAGGAACATCAAGGCCAGTATCTTAGCCATAACTGATAGTTAAGTGCGTTGTCTTTTTGTTAGTCATAGAAACACAACCCTTTATTTAAATAATTTTGCTTTATGTTTCAGAAAATCATCCACCCACTTATCCTCTCTCTTTCTCTCCTTTCCTTTCTCTTTCCCTCGCCTGGCTTCCTCCGTCTTTACCTCGCCCTTTTCTACCTTCTTTCGACCATACTTTCTCGTTTCTTCCCTCTCTTTACTCAACTCTCCCCTTCTCCACTCTCTTCTTTCTACATCCTCCCCTTTATCTCTCCTCTACACCTTCCTTCTATTACCCGCCCCTCTTCCCTTCCTTCCCCTTAGCTTATTCTCTCTTCCGCTTTTCTCTCATACCCACTTTCTATTTTATTCCTCTTTTTTTCTTTTCAATCTTTCCTCTTTCTTTCTTTTGTCTTTATAATATCCTCCCTCTCCCTCCCCCCATTTCTCAGCATCTTCTATCCAGTCTTCTTCTTCTCTTTCACTTTATCTTTCTGGTGACCTTAATCTATGCAGATATTCATCAAAGTAGATTGGTCTACCTTCACTATACTACATGTTCTGAACAGCACCTGCCTAACTCGAAAACTACAATTTGTGTCCCTAACTTTATACGAACTCGAACATTTATGTTAAGATAAGGAAGCGGGGGGAAATGTCTTTTCATCATGGCCTCTGAGCGACTAAATTAAGATTTACAGGAGAAAGAAAAGAGAACACCATTTATTTGGGTAAATCAGCCCAAAGGATATAAGGAGACTGAACCTGGAACTGAACTCATCCCAGTATTGTTTCGCGTTTTAAAAATAAGAGATCTCTCTCGGCTGATACAAAGAATAAACGGAAGATCATTTTTACATTCATCGTATTTGCCTAGTTGTTCAAATGAAAGTATCAGATTGGTTACATTTGCAGTTCCATACCGTATATTTTCATCCGCGGACTTTTTTCTTGTTTCTGTATTCTCAAAAGTTGTTTTCTAAAGACTCAGTTCTATTTTTTGCCACCGAAACCAACAAAAGAATTTGACATCATATTTATTATCCTTCTAACTCAATAACGCGGCGATATAACACGCTAATCACTGGTGGGAAGACAAGACATTACCTCACTCAACCTGCAAGTCCTGTGTTGAGAATAAGGATCAACAAGGCCAATAATTGCATAAAATTTGATCTGAGATCATTTTCATATTGTCAAGGCTTATTCAACGCCCGCTTCACATACAAAAGCACATTTTCCTTACGTTTTTCTTCGACGGAACGAAGAGAGAAAGAAATGAGCCGTGATAGTCGAATTGTAAAGTTATTTACCGTAAGGAGGCCTAATGGTAAAGATCTTAGCTTAGCAACACCGAAGCGGCAATCGCAGGTCGGCAACAGGTGATCCCTGGGAAGGGTTAATGGAGTGGGATATGGCTGAGTGTCACTAAGGAGAGGTCAGGCGTATAAATCTTAAAAGCAATGGTTGCTTGAGGGAGTTATCTTTACTTCAAAACATTTCAGACCCTTTCACCTCCCATCAATATCTACAAAAAAGTACTGGTTGGTAGTTGTGATAGGTGCCTGCTTTTCTGTAATGCCTGCAATCGGTCTTCGACACAAATTCAATCAAGTGGGAAGACCTCTCCATGAGGAAGATATTAACAATGCAAATTTTCCTGATCGCAACAGGTTAGCATATTCGTTTACTTGTAAAATCTACAATACCAATTGGGTATACATTTCTAACAATCTCTAAACAATTCGATCAATCTGACAAATTACCCAGACATCATCACACCTTTAATGTTACTTGGGGGGGCATTTCACGCCTTATTTCTCATATATATATATATATATATATATATATATAATATGTGTGCGTGTGTTTGTATGTATCTGTCTCTGTGTAACAAAATGGGAAAATCCTATGTTTGGAATTTCGACCTACTAAAGTTCTTCAACAGACTAAATAATGTTTTTCTTTATCGATGGAAGCATATATATATATATATATATATATATATATATATATATATATTGTGATATTGTGTCAGTGACCGAAATACAATAAAGGTCGATTATAATTCAACATCGAGAGGTTTGTTGCATACTGTTGCCTGCTCTGCATATATATGATTCCATTGATAAAAAGTATTATTTATTCTGAAGAAAACATTTAAAACGACAAACCTTTTCCTTTTTCATTCAATTAGCCACTATTTGTCTTACATATAGAGTTTATATATCATATTCTATCATATATATATATATATATATATATATATATATATATATATATATATATATATATATTGTGTGTGAGTGTGTGTGTTTGAAAATGCGGATAACTTTTAGTGACACATTTCGTTCCAAGACGGAACTTTTTCAAACAAATTCACGGGCTTATGAATGTAATTAGTCTTATATAGGGACCTCCAAATAAAAGCGATGCCTAAAATTAAAAAAAGTTTTTTTTTTTTAAATGAAATATCTTTATTGAAATTTTTATTTTAGTTTTAATTTCAAGGTAATAGATTAAGTTTAATAATTCCAAGAGCAAAATATTTTTCTGTAATTCAAGAACGAATTTAAATTGACTGGAAGGAATTGCTTTTTCTGATATAGCTGATTAGCGTCCTTTATTAGTTGTTTTTCATCGCAATGTAATTCACTTTATTAAAAAATTCTTCAAACATAAAATATACTTTTCTGAAACTTTAATTTGAGGAATATTATCTGATTTAAAGTCTAATTAATCTGATTTGAAACAAATATTATTTACTTTATGTTTAAAATATCACAGAAATGCATTTGTAACCAGACAATTGCTGTTTTAACGTGCTGATAGCCTTGTGACAAGTCTAATATTGTTCTACGGTGAATACAGATAATTTTTAAATACTCAGTAATCTTAAAAATTAAGGAAAATATTATCCGTAATCTAATGTTTCACTGAATTTTAGAAATTTTGATTTTAAATTTATTATAGTTATCACTTCTATTTTCAGATAATGTCCCGCTCGTATGGTCGTCGTACTTAAAAAAAAAATCAGTACAAAGAATCGATAAAAGAATTTTGAATTTTTTTTTGTATATTTATAAACATATAGAAAAATTTCAAAATTCTTTTACAAATAATGTTTGTTAAACTTTTCCGTTTATGATTAGTAAATATAGTTTTCATTCAATAAAATAATAAAATCATCTAAAAAGGTGAAATTAATACAGAATTTTAACAGATTTAAAACCTAATGTTTTCTAATTAAAATCTTAAATAAATGAAAACAATTATTGCAAAATTTCATTATACATCGAAAAAAATTACTTTTCTTAAGAGAATAATTCCCTTAATATATCTTATTTATAAAAACAATTAAAATCTTTTCTACTGAAATAGTGTCTGTGTTTTATTGCTTATTTGTTTTAGAACAGAATTTTCGATGTTTCTGTTTGGCAAAAACAAATTGAGATTTAAATTCTCCAAGGAGTCCTCCTTTCCAATAAAGGAGGGGTTGAATTTTAATTTCTCGAAATCTCATAAAATTAAGTAAGTGGCGATAACAGAAGAAAAATATTTTTACCAAGAAAAATTCAAAATAATTTAATTCATTTGTGAATATGTTATTTGAATTTTTCAAGATTTCCCAAAACAATGTGTATTTAACACCAAAAAAAAAAAAGCTAAAACTTCCAATACTAATCTTTGACCCACCCACTGACGCAAGAAAAACAATATTTTTAACTAAAATCTCGAACGTGCTAAAAAAAATTTTTTAAAATTAATACAATAACCAAAAAATACGTTGGTCTTTCCGCCTAATAAGAACATAAAGATTTTGACGATAAAACTTTATTTTTATCAAGTTTTGGGCCTTTTTTCATTATGCTATGCTGTTTTTAGAAAATCTATGGAGATACCTACGCATAAATAAAAAAAAACAAAAAGTGAAGTAGAAAGGGAAGGAAGAACTACAAAAACCACCGATTATATTTGACATTAACGACAGTCAACATTTAAATGTAAATTTTGTCCTTTTTTATTCTGCTTTTTTCACTTTTATTTATTTATTTATTTTTTTTAAATAAAAACATCAATAAAAGTAATCATTTGAACGCAAGAAAGGCTAAGATTAAATTTACATATTTAAATTTACATATATCGGATGTCAAAATCAAACGTTGAATGTCACTGGATCTTTAACGTTTCGATTTAAACTACAACCGACATTTATTGAAGAAATTCATTCTCTGAATGAAACGCGTCACTAATATGTTCGCCACATTGTCATTTATTTACCCACTATTAAACTTAACTATCTATCACACTCCGTTCATCTCTCTCTAACACTCTCTCTCTCTCTCTCTCTCTCTATATATATATATATATATATATATATATATATATATATATATATATATATATATATATATATATGCATGCATGCGCGTGTGTACGTGCGTGGGGAGAGAGAAAAGGAAAGATAAATATGAATAAAGCGTACATGACTATCTGGCATATTCTTTTTTTTTCTTTTTCTTTTATGTAACCGTTTCGGTATCGAAATTATTTCCTCAATTGTTAGGCTTCTTCGTTTCGTTAATTTTTCATTTTTTCTTTCATTCGTTTATTCCTTCAATCTTGGGTTCGTTCATTCGTTTATTCCTTTTTTTTTTTTTTCTTTCATTAATTCATTCGTCCGCTCATTTCTTGTTGTTTTTTACTTCGTGTTTCTTTCTTTTCACGCATCTTTCTTTCACTTATTTTTTCGTTCGTTATGTCTTTTTCTCTTTTGTTTATTTGTTTTTCATAATTTTTTCATTCATTTGTTACCGTTATCTTCCCGATGCACTTGGCAAACATAAAAAATCGGTTTTCATAACAGAACTGATCCCTGTTTTATCATCATCATTATATTGATCTAAAATAAAAATAAAAATAAAAAAAGTTTTGCTGGTTTGTTTTTTTCACGAAATTATCCTGACCTCTCAGAACTGACCTTTATAATGCATATCATACACTGTACGTTATATTTGTGTATAGACTTCCGGGTATGCATGTATGTGATGCAAGAGGCTAAAAGCGAAAAGTACGGAAGGAGAATCAATTCGCACTGGTATATTTAGTAATGTCAAGAGTGAAATTAAGAGACCTAGCCGGCAATCTAGAACTGCGAACTGTTCGTGAAGTCGAGATACCAATCAGTAAGGCTCCCCAGAATAATTATTCTGAAAATATTTATAGAAAAAGACACTGAAGATATAATGTAGCTTCCCTTGTCTTTTTGTCTGTGGGAAAGCTATTTATGTTTCACGATGCCATTTCAGTACTGATAACGTTACAGATTCTTTATTTTTATTTTTTCAAGAATCTCGAGATATATAGCAGAAATACTAGACGATGTGACAGCAATATTCGATGCCTGGACGAATAATAGAAAATGTGCAAGATAGTTTTTAGCGAGAAAAATTGTCTATCATGACGAACTTTCCTAATAGTTGACCCATGAATTGATTCGTTCCACTTCCTGTCAGCGAAAAACGTGAGGCCAGGAAAGCTCAATGAAGTGATCTCCTTAAGATTAGCATTAGCTATACTGAAGGGTGACAAAATGGATTCTTTAAGATGATATCACACACATAAAAAAATGTCCTGTAAAGTCTTCAGCTTTATCCACTTAACAAAATTTGACTAAATCACCAAGAATATGAAACTTTTTGAAGTCACTTCTTAGTCGTACTGTGAACATTTTAGCGCCCCGCAAATGTAAATATATCGCGTGCACTCTCTCTCTCTCTCTCTCTCACACACACGCACACGTGCACACGCATAAATATATATATATATATATATATATATATATATATATATATATATATATAAAATCAAACACTTTCAAAGGATTATGAAAAATCATGTTTCTTCTCAATATTGAGATACCGGGGAGTGTATGTGCATTATTCTGTGTATGTGCGAGAGAAAGAGAAAGAGAAAGAAAGAAAGAAAGAAAGAAAGAAAGAAAGAAAGAAAGAAAGAAAGAAAGAAAGAGTATACTTACGTAAACAATTTTGTCTTACATGCTATATATATATATATATATATATATTAGGTACAACCAAATATCTTCTAAAATAGAGCTTACCAATGATGAAAAAAAAATTACTCAAACTTGATAAAAACAACAAAGTTTCATCATCAAAATGTTTATATTATTATGAAGAGGAAAGACCAAAATAATTTTTATTATCTCATGAATTTTTTTTATCCGTTCTAGCACTTTCGAAATTTTGGTTAAAATCTTGTTTTTCTTGCGTCAGTGGGTGGGCCAAAGATCAGTATTGGAAATTTTTGCATCTTTTTTGTCATTAAAAACACATTGTTTTGGAAATTCTTGTAGCAATCAAATAAGCATTGGATTTCAGTGAAATTTTCAGGATATATTCACAAATAAATGAAATTATTTTTGAAATTTTAATTTTAGAAAATATCAATTTTTTTTTATTTATCTCCGTTATCCCCACTTTTTTTATTTGTTAAAAGCTTGGAGATTATAAATCATCAATTTTTTTTGTCAAAAAGAAACATCATTTACAGAAAATCTGCTCTGAATCGTAATATAAAAAATATAAAACTATGACATTATTTAATTAGAAAATCTTTTAATGCTTTTTATAAAATTAAATTTTAAATTTTTAAATTCTGTATTAATTGCAGCCTATTAGATGATTTTATCATTAAATGAAAACTATATTGACTAAATTGCAAAGGTTAATACAAATTATCAAACACCAATATTTTAAAAAGAATGATGGTTGATCATGTACGGAGGGGAAAGGGTAGTCATCAGCACCTATGGAATATAGCGAAAATATTCGACAGTGACGAACATAAGATAGACATCTGAAAGTATCATCACATGCGGAGCCGTGACTAGGAAATAATAAGAAATAAATACGATATGGTCGCTGCTAATAAAAAAAAATAATGACGAATGATAGCAGGTCTTCAGCAGCAGCAGCTGTAATGAAAGAGAAAAGCTTCTGTGATTTCCATCAAGCATGGCAAGCAGTAACAGTACCAATCAACAGGCAGGACAAATTTAAGACCCCCAAGTTCTCTACTTGTGGATTAAAACCTTGGTTTATAAATTTGGTGACATAGTAACTGTGAGTTCAATCCCTGGGACGAGCAGGGTGTACTTGGACTCAATAATTGAACTATACGAAAACTAAGATCAAGACGAGATAACCCAAGAAATGGTCAGTGAGATGACAACAGTTTATTTCCGTGGATTAAATTAAGGTTAGGTTACCCGGATCGATAAACACCTGATGAAGGCCGAAGAGGACAACGGCCGAAATGTTGTGATAACAACAACAAGGATGAGGAGAAATATCTACATATAGATAGTGTAAATTATATATATATATTGTTGAAACTTGGATAAGCATGGAATAATAATAATACAACACAAAATGTACGTAAACAAAATGTATTGAAACAAGGAAAAGGTACACAATATTTACAGTTAGTTTTGGTATATTCTTATGAAGACTGTTCCTGCAGAATGGGTTGACTAAATCGCAGTCGGGCAGAGTCTCTCGATTCGATCTCTTCTTACTCTTTTTTCCGGTACCAACCCATATTTATATGGTCGGTACTCCACTTATGTAAATTAGGTGTATCGTACCACAACATATATATATATATATATATATATATATATATATATATATATATATATATATATATATGCATGTTTCATTAAAAAAGATAGACAAAGGTACAACGTTTAAGCTTTTTATTTAATTTTTTCTTGCCATGTTGTGTGACCGATGTAATTAGGAGTTCGGCTTGTTCAGAAACAGTTCCTGAAGGGGCATTTGGACAGTTTCTACACACTCTGTGCCCAAAAAAGAAAGCTCTTGTTCGAACACAGAAAAATTAAATAAAAAGCGTAACCGTAGTACTTTGTCTGTCGTTTTTTAATGAAACATGCATAAATGAGGGATTGCTGCCTAAATACACTATATATATATATATATATATATATATATATATATATATATATATATATATATATATATATATATATCGATGAAAGAAAGGTACTGAGTGCCATCCATCTGCATTAAAATGCTAATAACTACTTGTTGTGGCTGGGTCAGGTTTTATGATGTAAACTACCGAAATGCGACCCCTTAAAAGCTGACTTTATGACCAAACTTTACACACACACACACACACACGCGCGCACACACACGCGCACACATACACGGTATTTACTCTGTCCCCGCACTAGGACGTGATGTGACACAAGATCTATTTTAGGTGGGAACCCGAGCGCGTACGCCCGGGAGAGGAACAAAAATTCCCCTCAGCCCCCGCAACTGTCAGTTGCGCTGACCTCAGTGCGAGCTCCGATCTCTCCCTCTGGTGCATATATATATATATATATATATATATATATATATATATATATATATATATATATATAATCTGAGGGGTACTCATTTACATATCTATCGTCAACATTGTAGAACTTTTATTGATTTCGGACGATTTCATCCAATAAACATTTCTTTATATATATATGTAACATAGAAATAGTTTGTATGTTTATAATATACAATCTATCTATCAATATATATATATATATATATATAGATAGATAGATAGATAGATAGATAGATAGATAGATAGATATAAGGAGAGAAAGAGAGAGAGTTGTGTGTATATTATAAATGTATCGTTTCAAATTTTTCATATTAATAGAAGACGTCTACAGATGTAGACAATGTGAACATAAGAATCATCATATGTTACCTATCGGTTTCACGTCTTCAAAAATAGTATAAAGATCTCCTGAAGAGTGAAACTTCATATATATATATATATATATATAGATAGATAGATAGATAGATAGATAGATAGATAGATAGATAAAGATCACTTAGCTTCAGCATCACGAAGAGTTTTGTAGACAGACACATCATCCAGAGTTTTGTAGACGGACGCATTATCAATCGCTCCGTCCAGACGTCGCTGGGTATCAGCAATTATATATATATATATATATATATATATATATATATATATACTACAGTTCAAAAGTCAAAAGTTTGAAGCCCCTCTCAGAATTAGCATGGCGTGAAGGAAATGAAACAGAGTCATTGAAAAAAGAATGGGATCAATTATCAAATTTATGCTTTGAGAAACTTTTGCAACGAATGTCAAAAATTTGTGCTGCAGTAATCAAGGTGGAAGAAGGATATTTTGACGAGAGGAAAATTTCATCATGAAATACTTCTTTTATTTTTGTCATAATAAAATTTCTAATAAAAATCATATCTGATTTTCTTAACCATGTATAATAATTTTCTCTTATTTTCAGTACAATACTACTTTTTGTGTCAATTTAAAATTAACGGAGGTGGCTTCAAACTTTTTAAGTGTATATATATAAATTAGTAACAAAATCATCAATAGTCTTATTATATTCTCTAATTTACCAATAATCTGTCACACATCAGAATTTTTGTAGAAACCGACAATAGTTCATGTGTCTCTTCGAATACTTGCAACCATCTCTGGTCATTTTTCAGGGACGTTCATATTGTCATTGTCAGAAAAATTTGTAATAACTTCATCCTGGTATTTTTCGGAATGTTACATTTCGAATCTAAATTTATATGTATTGTATAATTGACGTTATGTATAGAATTTATGGAGCCGCTTTAACAACACCAAATGACCAAGATATTATTAACCATTTTAGACGCATTTTAAAATATGGATTGTTTCTTTTGCATAATAATGATAATTATAATGATAACTTTGATTATTTTAAATGTTTCTTTACGAT